TCAGCAAAGTTTGAATCCGTCCTCCAGCCTAATGGGTCTTCCTCCAGTTTAAGTGGGTCTTCCATTGGAAGAAAGCTGCAGAAGAGAGTGGCTGGATTCACCTGTGTGGCAAACCCAGGAGCAAAGTGTGTTTATGAATCTTGAAGGGACTTCAGACTTTTTGGCCCAATCCCTGCTCAATTACCCTCCCTTCCTCCCTGTTGCATGTAGCAAGGTAAGTAATCAACAAAAGTTTACTTCTGGGTATAAGCTTTCGTGATGAAGTGTGCATGCACACGAAAGCTTGCACCCAGAATTAAAAACTTTGTTGGTCTTAAAGATGCCACTGGACTCAAACTTTGTTCCATGAAAGCAGAAGTAACTGGTCATCTCATGGTAGTCAGCAGATGTTGTACAAGCGAACCTGAAGGTGTGTAAAGATTCACTCAGGGTTGGACTCAGCTGAAAATACCCATACCTGCAGGGGAGAATTCCCCCCCCCTACTGTGGTAGCCCTCTAACCCCTCATGTGGCTCCTGTGGGCACCCCAGCACTTCAGGGAATATTTTTGGTTGCTTTGGGAAGGGGGGATGAAGGGAAATGGCTCTTCTGTGTATGGCATTTAGATAGGATCCAGCCCATAGCAGCAAAACACGGTTTGCTGATACATTTGCAGCAAACCTGAACGTCCATACAGTAAAGTAGAGTTTTGTAGTCTCAGGAATAGATGCCTGTTCATTTATTGGAGTGTTCAGGATGATTGTTTTTTAAATTTAAAGTGTGTGCCCTGCTTCTCTGTTGTGAAATGCTCAAGACAACCCACAGTGCTTAAAAATATATTGATAAATAGCTTAACATTCAGACTAACAAGGAACACTTAGAATCTTCTGAGAGAGGTAGTTTCAAAGATGGGGCACCATTGCAGAAAGGTTCCCTCTCTGGTACCCACCTGCTTAACCCCTCAACGGGGGGGGGGTGTTGTGGAGAAAAGGCATGAAGTATCTCAGGCAGGTTTCTATGGGTAAAGCTAATCCTTTATATGCTTCACAGAGTCGAAGACTTAGTTTACAGGTTAAAATAGCATCCTCAGTTGTGTCTGGAAACAAACTGGATACTGGTAAAGATCTTCCAGTAAGGTGGTAAGATCACAAAGGTAACCCCCAGCTGGCAACTTTGCTGCTCTGTTCATGAACAGTCAACTATTTCTGAATGATCTTTAGGGCCTGTCCACATTCTCCGTACTCCATGTCCAAGACTGGACATGATGACCAAACCTTGGGTAACTGTGGCCAGATCATCTGTTTCCAGAAGAGGACAAAGCTGTTGTACCAACTGCAGTAGGTGGAAAGTGCTTCCGTATTAAGGGCTGAAAGGAAGCTGAGTTTTAAAGTGGAGTGCAACTATATCCTGAATTGGTTGGATTACCACCCTGCTGTTTCAGCGAGCCACCTGTCAAGATGGGGGGTTTGGGTTATTAACCCTCAATCAGGTCATTATTGACTGCAGGCACCTGTTTGGGACATCCACAGCCATGTCTGGATCAGATGAAAAAGAGAAGGACAGCTGAGTCTTATCTGCAAACCAGTGATGTTTCATGATTTCGCGCTGACATTTAACAGGGGACGAGATAGAGCCTGGAGAACATCAATAGCATAAAGGCCACAGTGCTGAGCTGTAGTCTGCAGAACTGTCTTCTGGAAATAACCTTCCACGGAGGAGCAGAGCCACTGGAGTGCACTATCACCAACTCCCGGTCCTGCTGTGCCATCCAGGAGGAGATCTCAAGTTGCAGAGAGGCACCAAGGAAACAACAAGGTCACATCCCATCACTTTCTCCCAATGAACGTTGTCCAGCGGGGCAACCCAATACTGGGACAGAAGGCAGATTGAAATGGATATAGGAAATTCTACATCTGGAAGCCCAGTACATTCAGTTCTGTGACCAAGGACCGTATGGGCAAGGTTGCAGGAATATAACTCTCAGATTTCTAAAACTGCATTATTTTGTTGAGGATTGTGACAGGCGTATTGTCAAAATCTGAAACCTTATTGCTAAGTAAGTTGTCTGGATAATAATGGTGCGTGACCCATCGAGTGAAGCTCTCGTGCTTTAATTACCTGTGTGTAATTTTCTGCAGTCCTGTGAACTTTTATCTGTGCCTGCTTGTTTCTTTCTTTCTTTTTGCTTAGTATATGAAATACCAATGCAATAGCCAGAAAATGTACTTAGAATTATATCCACTTCGCAGTCTTTGTCCTCTCAGCTGGAATATTACTTGTATGTTCCTGCAGATCTTATCTCTGCATATGCAGTGTTTCCAGGCAAGTGCGTGCTATTTGATATACTCTCTTCACAGACCAATGGATAGGAAGAATGCCCACAGTCACAGGGTGGCATCAGCAATTTTTTGGATTGTCTGCAGTGTCAGCTTAACTAAAGAAACAAGTACAGCTAGTCAAACTCGTTCTTCGGTTAGGCTGAATTTTTGTTAGGAAAAGTGTTTGTCGTAACTTCTATCCCACGCTGTCCACCAGAGGTGCTCAGGGTGGCACAGATAACAAAGGACAAAGAAAACAGTAGGTACATATTAAGATAACATTTCAAAATTGTTTCACGTGGGTGGGTAGCGGTGTTGGTTGGCAGTAGAAGACAAGACAGGAGACCATTAGCACCTTAAACACCAACAAGATTTCCACTGTATAAGCTTTTGAGAGTCAAAGTTTCTTTTGTACCAAAGGGACCAAAATACAAATTACTGGACTTGTATTTTAAAATTGATAAGAGCTTGAGTAAGCAAGAACATCTTTAATGGGCATTGAAAGCCTAGCACACCCAGTGCGCTCTGACTATCCATTGGGAATATTGTCATATTGTTCAGCAATCTTGCCAGTTTGGTAAAATAAGCAAGTATTGGTGGGGTACCAAAAAGATAAGAGTGGCTTATCTAAATCATTTAGTGGCTAGGCATAGTTAAACTGGGGGCTTCCAGTTCTTATGCTTAAACCTCTACAGTATATGAGATTTTATGTATTTATTTATTTATTGGATTTCTACCCCGCCCTCCCAGCCAAGACTGGCTCAGGGCCGTTTACATAAAATCAATACCTAATTTACAATAAAACATGAATATAAATTTAGATTAAAACAATTCTAAAATCATTTAAACTATACAACACAATAATAACAACACTATCTATCTATTTATTTATTTATTTATTTATTTATTTATTTGTCAAATTTATACCCTGCCCTCCCTGCAAGCGGGCTCAGGGCGGCTTACATAAAAGCATAAATACATTAAAATACAACTTTTAACCATACAATAAAACATTATAAATACAAAGTGCTGGCGGCTAATTAAATTAATCTAGGTGGAATATTACAGGCATACATTTCCACTGCCCGGACGTTCACGATGTTTCTACTCATAGTATGTTAGATGTTAAAAACCACGGGCCAAGCTCTGCTGTCACAGCTTGCAATAGGAGCCTACAGTAGCGTACAGTAGCAGCGGCCCCTAATTAAATGCCTGGCAGAAGAGCCCTGTGGAACTGCAAAAGGTCCCGCAGGGCCCTGATCTCCTCTGGGAGCTCGTTCCACCAGGTAGGGGCCGCCACTGAAAAGGCTCCGGCCCTGGTAATGGCTAGCTTGGCTTCTCTCGAGCCAGGGAGGGTCAGCCGATTTTGAGACCCCGACCGTAGTGCTCTCGGGTATATACGGGGAAAGGCGGTCCCTCAGGTATAAAGTGCTAGTGACATTAATTTCCCAATGGCTGTGATTACTCAGTCATTACTAGTCATTTTATGATGCAATATCTGCTCTTCATCACTCAGCCTAGAAAAAAAGTGAGGAATGTATCATACAGGCCTTTGGGGGAGTGGCGCCATTTTTGGAACCAGCATGAAACCTGTTGTTGGAGGAACTACAGAGGGATCAGTTGGCCTCTGTATGAGAGACAGTATGCTGGATTAGATGGACCAATGGTCTGATCCAACACAACTGCTCAGAAGAAAGGTCCCTTTGAACTTAGAGCTCACATTTCCAATGCTTTGGTTCAGAAACAGCAACCCACCCTCTGTAATTGAACAACTTTCTGGCTTGTGTGTCTTCCATCTTTTCTTCACACAATGAAATTGTTATTATTATTTCCAGGAAAATGTACTTTGCCACTGTGTCCAAATAATCATGCTATGGCTTTTGGTTGCCCTGAAAACCACCACTGGTGTGGCATACTGGTTTTAGGGTGGGTGCACACCATGGCCTGGCAGTTTGAGTAGAACAGCAAACTGTGTTTTTACTGAACCCAGCAAAGGCATGGATCCAAACACCTGCAGACAGAGTGGAGTTTGTTGAAAGGATCTCTGCAGATTACCCCTTTCTCCACTGTATTTTCCCCACAACCTCAAAACAGCTCAATATTTGGTACTTGTGGGGGGCTACAGTGGGAATGAATACTGGGGAAGCCCCCCAACAAGAGAGTCCTTAAGACGTGAACAAAACTCTAGTCCAGTAGCTCCTTAAAAGATCATTGAAATTTTCCAGGGTATAAGCTTTTTGGAGTCAAAACTCATTTCATGAGGGAGCTGGATTACTGGACTTGAATGTCATCTGACCACCACAGGGTAACAGAGCTACCCACCTGAAACAATTCAAGAGTGTGTGGGGACTTATGTAGATTTTCCCCCGCCTCCAGGGTTAACCCTTCACAAGTCACAGGGGGAAGAATTGTCAAAGGTGCCTTCCAAAAAATTTGTTCCTTGGGGGGGGGGGGTTGGTCCTATCCACTGTGCTTTCAGCTTCACAAATCAAATCCAAAAGTCATTATTTGGACAAATACATGTCACTGAATATGCCTCTGGAGAACTCCATAAAATCTATCAATTTCAGAATTCAGATGGAACATTTTGCCTCTACTTAAGAAGAAATCTTTATACTTCTTTGGTGAAAGAATACAGTACTATGACGTTACAAAATATTTCCAGGAAGCTTACTTTGAAATATCTTTCTCTCTCTCTTACAGTCCTTTCAGGGAAGCCAGGGACGAGCCTACCTCTTTAATTCAGTGTAAGTATGATTGTAAGTAAGAAGTAGAACATCTCTCAGCAAACTATCCTGATGGGCTGAACAGTCCTGAATGTCTCATCAGTTTAAGCTTTTAAAATAAGATTTATGTGCCAGTTGAGCAACTTGCGGTGCAACAGTACTTCTGACATGTTAGACTGACCTTCTTTTCTCCAGACTGGTATGGAATAAATTTACCTACCCAGCTACTAGTCATTTTCTATTGGATTTTAAGGCACTTTTTAGCCTGCCTCGGTGTCCAGTATTAGAAGAAGAAGAAGAGAAGAAGAGATTGGATTTATACCCCGCCCTTCACTTGGAGTCTCAGAGCGGCTTACAAACTCCTTTCCCTTCCCCTCCCCACAACAGACACCCTGTGAGGTGGGTGGGGCTGAGAGAACTCTGACACAAACTGCTCTTTCAGGAACAGCTGTGCCAGAGCTTGTGACTGACCCAAGGTCACATCAGCAGGTGCAAGTGGAGGAGTGGGGAATCAAACCCAGTTCTCCCAGATTAGAGTCCGCCCACTTAACCACTACACCAAACTGGCTCTCAAACACAGGGTTGGATCTCCCCAGCTCTTTCACTTAGTATTGCCCAAATCTCTTCCTAACTATGTTCCACATGGTTTTTGTACATGCAGGTCCAATGAGCTCCAGTCATTACCTTTTTTTGGTGGTCAGAAGGGACCCCCTGCTTCCTTTTTCCCCCACCAACAGAAATGCCAGCTGCATCCAATCCTTTCTGTCTTGCCTCCCCCCTCTCCTAATGCAGCCCACTGATCTCCATGAAATGCGAGCCCCAACCCCCGCCAAGCCTGAGCTGGCAAGGGGATAGGCTGATTTGCCTCCTTGAGAGGCAGAAAGAGGAAGATACCAATACCTCATCTATTTTGAGCCTAAGCAAACCGCGTGCCTGTTGTGCTATGAAAAGCGGGATCATAATTGCTCCATCTTAGCATTCTAATGCCTGTGTGAACAGCCAGCTCTTTGCACCTTCTACACCCAGCCGCTTAAGATGTCAGCAGAAACGACTTGGCGTCATAGGTTGCTCAGAGGCACCAGCCTTCCAAAAAATATTAACTCTCCAGGGCAGAATTGTCTGGCCCACCTGGGAATCTGGCACCAAATCAACGGAAGGATTCAAGTACTGTTTCTGAGTCTGAGGATGACTCTGACTCAGAGGTGCCATCACACTAGTCATCTAGAGATTTTGCTGTTTTACACGTCTGTAATGAGCAACTGATGAAAGATACTACATTGTTTGCAATTGAGATAAAGCTCATCCCTCCAGAGGACTCTTAATTTCATTGGCTGAAATTCTCCTTTCAAACCCTGTGGACTTTTCAGTACTTCTGGAAGCCACCAGAGATCAATGGGCAAATTCTAATTTGATATTTCCTAAACCGAAGATGGAAGGTAGATATGAAACGCAACAACAAGGTGACTCACTTCTCCATCAAAAATTGTACTATGGATTGCCTAGTAGTTTCACAAGGTGTGAAATATTCACGTCAGCTCCAGTGGAAAAGGAAGAGAGAAATTTAGACATCATAGGCTACAGGATCTGGGTTTCCCCCCTGCCATTTACTTTAGCTGTATGGAATTCATGCCATTATTGCTCATTTATCAGTTCTTTTTATGGGAACAAATGCCCTCTTACCTATATATGATTCCAGGAGATAATTAGCTAAGCTACTGCCAGCTGAAGTTATTAGGTTGTTAATACAGTCAGTAAATATTGCTTCACATGTAATAGTCTCTACCAGTTAAACCACACCTGCAGTATTGTTTGGAAGGCATGCAGATTTAGACCTTCTGTGCTTCCACCTGAAATGAAAATAGTGAATCTGGACCTCCAGGATCCTCTAGTCCAACCCCCTGCACAATGCAGGAAATTCACAAATACCTCCCCCTCCACACCCCCAGTGACCGCTGTTCCACGCCCAGAAGATGACAAAAAAATTTGCTTCCTGACCCCTAAGTAGCAATCAGCATTTCCCTGGGCATGTAAGAAAGGGCCACAGGAACTAAGCACTGATGCAACCCTCCCTGAGAGCACACGTGTTCAACTCTGAGACAGGTGACATCCTAGAGAAAACCTGTAAAATGTAATTGACCACGTGTTCTCCAATAGTGTCATCCAGATCTGGGAAGTCCGAGATTTTCTCCAAGCTATACACTCAATAGCCTCAACAATGCAGATAGACAGAGGTTATTCCTATGGAAAAATGCTTGTAGCAGTACAGACAAAACAAAAGGAATCCAAAAGGAAGTCCTTGCCCCACATTTTTTCTTAGAGCTTTTCCCATCCAATATGGTATTAGGCACTCCACATACAAGCATTGTTGGCCAACCGTTGCCTGAGTGTAGTAGGTATTTCTTTCTCACTAGACCATGCCAGAAGATTCAGACCATCTTCTTCCATCCCATCCAGTGTTGACACCTGCCTATTGCAGGCTGTCTGGCAGAGGCGCATGCACTCCTACAAAATTAATCTTTCAGAACCCACGAGTGTGCTTTATTTTGAGACTGCAGACAGGAAAGGGAGACTACATGGCCCATTCTTGGTCAGTGCCACCTGAACACATGTTGAAAGCAAGATGTTAAAATAGTATCTAAAGGACATCCTGTTGCTGCTAAAAGAAGCGTTTTATGTTGCCCGGACCTTAACCCAGCCACATAGGGAACCACCTTGAAGTTCTTAATCTGTGTTCTTGACAAACTCTTGCCTGGTTGGTGCTTTGACCTGAAGCATAAGTGAATACAGTTCCTGGTAATTGTAGAAACTAAAAATTACTAAACTGAGGCTATTATACTTTAGTCACATTATGAGAAGACAAGAGTCACTGGAAAAGACAATAATGCTAGGAAAAGAGGAAGGCAATAGGAAAAGAAGAGGACCCAACATGTGATGGATTGATTCAGTCAGGGAGGCCACAGGGGCCCTCCGTTGGCAGGACTTGAGCAAGGCTGTTAATGACAGGACAACTTTGCAGGCCATTAATTCATAAGGTCTCCATAAGTCGGAAGCAGCTTGACAGCACTAAACGGACACAGCTGCAGTTCCATCAGTCTCATGGAAGGTCGATTTGATGCCTTTTTGCCTCGATGGGTCATTTGGTTTAAATGGAGCAACAGGTTCATTTAGGGGAAGGGAAGGCAGAGCCTCTCATTTTTAAAACAGCTTTCTTGAATGGCTCAAGAAATACTTGCCAGAAAATAAAGCCTAACAGAACCGCTCTAGTGGATCTACGTTTACTTTAGCACAAAGGTTGAATTCTAATGGAAAAAACAGTCCTTTGCAGTAGTTGATGTTCTTCCCACTCTTTCTGTCTCTCATAGGGTGAATGTGGGCTGCGGTCCCGCAGAAGAGAGAGTCCTCCTGACAGGCTTGCACGCTGTAGCAGATATTTATTGTGAAAACTGCAAAACTACTCTTGGGTGGAAATATGTAAGCAATACATAATCCTTTTTCTTTTTTTGGAGGGGGAGAAAACACACGTGTTACTGCTTGGTTCTGTCTACTGGATAATGCACAGGTATAAAAGGCTGGGAATCTCTGGCTGTGTTACTTGATTCCATCTCATCGCCTTGTAAGGCTGAGGAGCAGACACCAAAGACAACTTTGCCTTGTCTGGCTGTGATTCAGAACCATGTCTGAATCCATGTCAGATCCATCTCTCTTCAAGGCAACCCAGTCTGATCCTGGCTTTTAAGTGGATGTTATCTCCTTGCCCTATCCTCTCCCGGCTTTCATCTCTGCTTTTATCCTGGTTTCTGCTGGTTTGTGTTTTAAAATGCTGATGATGGATTTTCTTGCTTTTTTAAATTATTGCAGGTTTAAAGTGTATTAAATAGTACAATTATAGGATGTCAGCCACCTCTGGCAGAAAGAGAGAGAGAGAGAGAGCAGAATAAAAATCTTTTAAATAATTTTTAAAACCCCTTGGCAATTGACTTTCCTTTGGTCCTTGGTCACGATGTGGAGGCAGGCAGTGGCAAACCACCTCTGATGGTCTCTTGCCTTGGAAGCCCCACTGGGGTTGCCATAAGTCAGCTGTGACCTGATGGCACTTTCCACCACCATTGTGGGCAACCGGTTCCCCTTATTGAGCCGAGGCGGATTATGCAAGCGGTTTTCACTAGGGATGGGCAATTTGTGACAAATTTTTGGCCAGTTTGTGGTTTGTGAAGTTCATATCAGGTCAACCAGCACAAACTTTTCACAAAGTTTCAAGCTGTTCATGACATGAACAGATACATTTCCAGATCTAAATGTTTACCAGACTTCAAAGCAATGGGGATGTGTGGAACTTGGAGGGCATGTAGAGGAGCATCCGGGGGAAATCTCCTGCGACTTTGATGTCTGTAGCTTGTTCAGGATCTGTTCTATACACTCCTGAACCTGCGCCTGTCAAAATGATCTGTCACTTCCCTAGAAAGAACTTTCCTGGGGGCTCCTTCTTTGGGGGGCCATAACTCAGGCCCCATAAATCCAGTCCTCACCAAAGTCGGAGGGCAAGTAGAGGAGAGTCAGCCAGAGATCCCTTGTGAGTTTGGTGCCTCTAGTATGCCAGGGGGGCCCTTTCTACTGTGTCACAAACCTCACAAACCAAATTGGTTTGTTTGGCGGAGAAAAGCTCCTGACAGTTCGTGGTAAATGAACCAGGCACACCATGAACTGAACTGCATTTTTCCAGTTCATGCCCATCCCTAGTTTTGACATCCAGTGTGTTTGGGTATTTATTCCTCTTCCAAGGAATTCTGCTTTTGGTCCCACTGACTAGGTGTGAAGAACTAGAGTTCATCTCCCATTGTGTGTTTACTGTCAATCCTACCATCTTGCTCATCCTTCAGTCATTCGAATATCCTCTCAAGGGATGAGGCCAGGAAGTTTGGAGCCCAGTCTGGGCCCATCCAGGAAGGTTCTTTTGCCTTTCTAGTCCCAGTTCAGCTTTAACAGTAGCTTATCTCTGTTTCCGTATTTTATTACATTTATATCCTTTTTTCCGCCATGGAGCTCAAGATGCTCTCCCATCTAGGCTCTGACCAAAGCTGGACTTGCATAGTTTCACGTGCTTCGCATGCGTGTTCCCACATCATTGTTCCAAAGCCCATTTTGTTTGCTTTTTTGGTCTTGTTTTGGTTTGTATTAAATTCCACAACAGAAACGCAAAACAGAATCCACCAGTTTAAAAACCCAATTAGAAATTGCAATCAGGTCAAATGACGGAAAGCTTTTCGTACCCACCATGCATGGATTTCAAGAAAGTCCTGTGGATCGGGTCTCCTCCGGGGCCTTGCTTCAGGTGTGCGGTGCCCCTTGGGAGTGTTCTTCTGACTTGTGTCTGCTCATGAAACCTGGGATGGGGGCTGCCTGCCTGCACAGGTGATTCACCTGGCCCAAGAGGGAGGAATTGTGTGGGTGGAGGCTGTGTGCATAGTCATGTGGGCTTCATGCTATATGAATCATCTCACCACCCTTATGGCAACCTCTGCCCTGTTGCTAACAGAAACACATTATTTGCAACGTTTCCATTCCTTATAAGTCCAATATGCACAATTTAGGAATTGTTCATCTGTGTATTATACATTTATTAGCTGGTTTTAAACTTCTTAAAAAGATTTTTTAAAAATAGAGTACATTAGCATTACTTAGATTGCTGCTCTTTGGCAGCCTTGGGTGAAATGGCTGGTGAGGTGCCCCCCACACACACACTCTTTGAGAAGGCGGTAGAACTCCAGGAGCCGCATACTGTCTTGGGATCTGCTGGGGGGGGTGGGAATCTTCCTCACAAGAGCTTTTGCCTAACTGTTTCCTAGTTTCTTAGCTCTCTGTTTTAAAAAGTGCATTTAGCTTGGTTCATTCATGCAGGAAAATGAAGTGACAGAATGGACTGCGTGCCTAGAGACTGTCGGGGGCGGATTCCAGTTCTGAATGCTCCTTTGCATTAAAAATAAAGCCCCAGGCCAAACTCGCACAGTCGGGAAAGGGAAAGGTTCGATCCTGTCTCTTTGCCTTCTGTGCCGTTTTTCTGTTTTTAACAAGGAGTGTTTAAAAACACGATCCTTCTCTTGCCATTTTGAGTGGCATCATTCATTGCATCGCCTGCATGTCTGAACAGACGTCACATTGAATGGACACAGTGGGCCGTGAACAGCTGCGCTGTATGGCAGGGAAGGGCTGGAGCATACCTTTCAGTCATGGGGTGACGATGCAGTGCCAGAAGTGTTGAATGAAACTCTAGCTTCTGCCGGAAGAATTCTCGATCTGGAAAGGGGTGGATAACGCCGTCTCGCCTTCTGTTTTCTTGTGCAGGAACACGCGTTTGAGAGCAGTCAGAAGTACAAAGAAGGAAAATTCATCATTGAACTTGCCCACATGATCAAAGACAATGGCTGGGAGTAAAATTGGATTATTCTCATTCTTTGTGGACAATCTGTGGAACGTGCTTTATAAAGACTAATGCAAACAAACAACAAAAAAAGGATTTTGGTTGAGGTGGCTGAGAAAAATCACTGAATTTTTGAAACCTCCAAAATAAATAGTGTAATTTGTGGCATTTCACTCCCCCCCCCTTTCCAGGCCATGTTTTTGCCTTCTCCTCTTTGTGTAAGTTCCCCTCTTTTGTATATGTATTCCTGTGTGAACAGTTTTGGATGAACTTTTTTCTAAGCTTCTGAATCCTAGAGGAATAGTTCCTTAATGGCACATTAGCTTTTCTGGCCGGCATCTTATCTTTCAATCTCTGCCTTTGAACACTCCTTTCCGCTGTGCATGCTTTCTGTCCCCTACCGTCCCCAAAATCTTGTCGGGAGGCCTGAGCGGATAGGAGTGTAGTCTCTCTCCTCCATACGTAGCAGTTTCTGAGGTCTTTTTGCAGTGCAAAGGATGCAGCGTTGTAGTAGCCGTTACCGCTCTGGATAATTTTGCACGGACTGCAACCTGCAGACATCATTTTGGCCAGGCTGGTAAAGGCTCAGTCAGTTGTACTGACTGATGTAAAGGAAGGTTTGCTTTTAAAAAAAAAAAATGTTTGTTTTTAAACAGGCAGGGGAAGATAGGACAATAGCTTGCAAGGATAACTAATACTGTAGAATATATGAAAACCTAAATCAATACATTCCTAAGGAAAGTCAAGCTTTGGTCTGTTGAGGAAGAGCTTCTTACAAAGTCTTCGAGATTAAAGGGCACAAATATATGCAGCTGTTGTTCTTAAGACATCAGTGTACAATGTCTTTGGTACTGTCCCTTTAGCAGAGGGGACTCGTACCTCACCTTGAGGTTGTATGGCTGGTTCCATGTAGTTACCTAGTGTTAATGCACTGGACAAAGAGGTTGATATCAGTGAAGCAGTCTGTTGCTGCTGCCGCTGCAGCGCTTAGACGCAAACATATTTTTTTCCTGCGTGGAGAAATGGCAGGGGCTATAGCTCTTACCACCATTACCTGTGGGAGGCCGGAAGTTGGCAAGCAGGTAAGAAAGTGGCAAATCGACTTAAATCTCTTCATAAAATAGCAAAAATAGTTTTTTAAAGGGGGAAGGGGGGGGAGGGTGTTTGATTTGCTGGCTGAATCATCCCCGAGCACATTTTTTTGTAATAAACAGTTACGTGAAACAAACATCATCTTGTAATTTTTCCCAGCTGCTCCTCTGTTGTTGTTTTTTAAAGCGAGGTGACTCAATCAGACACTTCTGTGATGTGATGGGGTGTGCAAAGGTTCACTGGAGGGAACCTGAAGGCATGCAGGAGATCAGAGCGATTTTTAATGACTTTTTTTTTTTGCATTCGTCTTTGTTCTGAAATTTGCGAGAAGAAAAACGTATGGGAGAACCCTTTACACTAACACTACATAACCACCACTAATAGCATGAATCACAAGAAAGCCTTGGAAAACTCTGTTCCTTTCCTAATTCGTGGCGCTTTTCAGTGTTCTCTCCTTGCTGGCTGCTGCTAACACTCTCTGATGGAGCTTTCAAATCTCCATTGCACTTTACCTTATACCTTTCATGTAGGAGTCATCATTCTCTAAAGTTAAGCCTTTTTCCCCCTCCTTGTGGCTGAGGGATTCTTTCCCAATTTAAAATATCTGGGAAGTAATATGGTTACACTGTGATGCAAAAAGGATATTGAATATACCTATTGAAATATATATATATATATATATAGTTACCTCTTAGGCATTCAAATCCAAAGAGCTGTATCAGTGACAGCTTCAAATTTTTGTTTTGCCGAATGTCATTTTATTCTGGTGCTTTATTTAACGTGAACGAGTTTGGATCCGTGAATCTTCAGTACACTACTTGATCGCAAGTGCACTGTGAGCAAGATTAACCTTGATTTGTCTCTAGACAGATGCTTTGTTTGGTGACTGTAGTGCTACCACTCTAAGTGAACAGGAAGTTATTTGAAGAGGAAGTACTTCCTAGCAAGGAGGCTGGACTCTATGGTGGCTGGCTTAGACTTAGCCGTTCCTCTTGCCATCACTGTTGATCTTTCTGGTCTGTTTGGACTGTCGGCAATCAGCATGGGATTTTGCTATGGGCACTGTGTGTCTTGCGGGTCTGTGACACTTGCAGGCATCTTTTGTGGTCGTGCCCTTGCAAAATATCAACTCAAGTCATACATCACATTTCAGTTGTCTTGACTGAGAGGTCTAGTTTTCTTCTCATCCTTCTCATCCCTTTATTGCTTACAGCAGAAACAATAACTTGAATCCTCTTCCCTCTGGTACAGCATCCACTGCCAACAACTGAAGTACCAACGTTGTAAGCAGTAAGCTGTTTTTTTGCGTTGGCTCCCGATGCTAGCTGTAACAAGCACCATCTTTGGAAGTGTTCCTAGATGTGTATCTGTCAGTAGCATGGCTGTGAACAGTTGAAGAATCTCTCTTGCCCATAAGAATCAGATTGCAAGTTTAAAGGAAGGGCACGAGACAAAGCAATGAGGGGGCACATCTTTGGAGAGCAGGTCAACCTCTTTTTATCAGTGCATTATTTGTATTCCAGGCATAAGTTACGCACCAGTGCAGGTAACTGAAGCCGGCAGCTTTTTCTTTTCAAGGTGGAAAAAGCATTTTGGGGGGATTGACTGTGAAGGAGAGGGGTGTTTATCACTTTTCTGCCTCCAAATCACTTTCCTCCCCATGCCTCCCCCCTTGCAAGGAAAGCATGTTTTTGAAACTCGAGCGGGGGGGGGGGAGCTACTACAAGTATGCGTGACAGCAAAGGAAGGATTGAGCATCATCATCATCTTGCTACTCTTTCTCCACTCTCTGCCTCCACCTCCGCCAAGCAGTGTTTCAGCATAAGAAAAGGGCTGTTGGGCTTCAGTGGCATTCGTTTGCAGGGACCCTGGGCCTCTCGTCCAAACCCTTGAGTTGATCTGGATGGCAGCACCTGGAATATCAAACGACCGATGAGTAGAACTGTGGTGCAGACAAGCACTTAAGAGGATCTAACAGAGCAATATCTTATGATTCTGAAAAAGGGGTGGGAGAATCTGTGGAGAATTTAAAACTGATATTACAAGTATGAAGTAGCATCGGGGGAAGGGGGGGTTGGTCAGTTAACTATTTTGAACGCTGCGTTGGAGGAGACTCTAAGGTTGGCTGCTTAAATTGGGCAGTTTTGGTGGAAGTACACTCCAGATACTGGTGGACGTTGGTTGGGTATATATAAAGATCAGTCTGGTTACTGACCTTTCCAGCATTACATAAAACATAATACTTGAAGAGCATTTTGCAAAGAGCATTTTTCCCTATAACCATTTTTTTTTTGTAATGTATTGTATTTAAGGTTTTTGTGTGTTCTTTCTGGGCAAGTGGATACTTCCCCTCTGACTTGAGCACTTTTGTTTCCTGTTATATTTTATTACTGTTGGTCTTAACATTTATTTTGTATTTTTTTTTAATAAATCGTAACAATTTGCGGGTGGGTGGGGGGATGAAGTTTGAGTGTGTTAACCTGCTAGGGTTTTGTGTTTTGTTCTGGGTTATATATGAACGGACTATACAAGCTGGTTCTTGGAAAGAATGTTCATTTGCACAGACGAGAATGTGCTAGCAAAAACGTACGTGTATTGAAGTATTTCCCCCCCCCCCTTTGAACTCACTATTCAGCATTATCACCAAACAGTGTGACGTGGCTGAGGACCAGTTTGGTTGCTTTGAAAGCCTCCAGCTCCACAGAGGGAGGTGCACGGAGGAAGGCCGCCAGCACTGGTTGCGTCAGATCGGACGCGTCTTCCTTCACACAGACCTGTCTTTGGGGCGTGCTGTGCGTGGAGGGTTTTTGTGCATCTAAATTGACCTTGTGGATGACCTGTCTCTTGTCCTCTAGTTCCTGTGGCTTGAACGTTACTGTACTGAAAACTGGCTCCAATGTGGCCATTATCCCTTTGTCTTAATAGCTTTTGCTGCTTTTTAACCATTGGAAGAAAATGCCCCGCTTCCAACCTCTTTTAAGTTGCAACGCTTGCTCCATGTCCTGAATGCGGGCTTGCTTTTCCACTCCACTGTTTGTTTTGTACATGTGAGTTTGACTTGGTGTACTAACTGCTACAAGTCTCTTGTTTAACAATCCACAGCATCGTTCTGGCCTCAGCCTGCAATAAAACTGGGGGGCTCGAGAGAGTGGCCTTTTCTTTTGGCTGACACTTTAATAGGTTTGAAGACAGATCTATACTGAAGTTTGTTCTCTTGCACATCTTAAAACATGGCAAGTTAAAATCTACTCCTGGATCTTTAATTTGCTCAACTTGCTTTGACATCTTATCTCTTAAAACCATGTGGCAGTTGTCAGAATTTACAAAGTCAAGGTTTAAATCAAAGTAACTAGTTATATTTTGAGGGAAAAGGAGAGCCCCCCACATTAGTAGGGGTACCCCACTTGATTTTGAATGCGCTAGCAATGAAAGAATCTTACAAAACACTGATCTGTTATTGTTTGCCATGATACACCCAGCTGACTGCATGCTTTGAAACCACCCTAGTTGTACAAGGGGAGTGAGAATGGAAGCAAGCATTCAAACTAATTATTTGGTAGTATCATGTACTGTACCATTTGTGTAAACCGACTAGTAATATAACTTATTTGTTGTAAAGAACAGGAATTTCAGAAACCTCATAGGGTCAAACACATGAGTCACAGGTGGCCATTGATGTGCCTCGTTGCTGGAACACTTTTGAAAATGCTTTCTTTTGCAGCTGATGTGGCTTCTCTCTGGTTCTCGTCTTAGCAATACTGTACACAATTTGTTGTTTCATTTTGTTGTATCTATTTGAGGTATCACAATAAAAAGCTTTCAGTTTTATTGAATTAACTTTTTAAATTTCGTGCTGTCTGTTCTTTTATTTTAAAAAGCGCTGGATCCAATGACTCCTTTACTTACTTACTATACTTATTTGTTCTTTGTCTCCCCAAAGAGACCTAAATACAATGAAACATAGTTTAAATAAATTGGAGTAACAAACTATAACTTGGGCCAGTCTTGGATCCAAGGACCAGTTTACTCATGGTCATAGGGCATGAGCCGCAGGCTAACAGCTAAGAGCCCTTCTGCGCTTGCCCGTGGGATTACCCCTTTGGCCACACCCATGTCTGTACCTGGAGATGTGAAGAGCTGGGGGAGGGGGGGGATCTTCCATCAGAGGAGCACTTGATAGGATAGGAGAGAGTCATAATCCAGCCTTTGGGGAAACCTTGCATTTTAGCAGCATAAGAGCAATATTCATAAAGCAATCATGCTCAGATAAAGCAAATATTGTGAAACGAATTGTTTTCAGTGCGCAGTATTCGTTGCGTGTGAGCGGTCATGGAAGAAAATTTTCTACAGAATTACTACAGGAAATGTTTTTGCAACTTACCTTTATTGACTCTTCGTTATTTTTGTCACGGATGTTGTTTTTGGTATTCCACCATCTGGAGGTTGGCAACCCTATCGAGGGCTCAAGGATTCCTCCCCCCCCCCCGCCAGCTGGCACCATGTCTGTCCAGTACCTACGTGGGGCTGGATCAAACACAGGAAGATGACTCTGACTACTCACAGTGAGATCTGAACAGATGGAATTAGCATTGTGATGAACATTGCAAAGGAATGTTCAATTACTTCAGGGAAATGACCCACGGCCTGGCTCTCTTTTAGGCAAAAACTATATGCAGCAATACTAGGCCAACCCCACAGTTAATGACACATACCACAAGTTCACAATGGGCTGGAACCCTGTGGAAAATTACTGCTATGGGGGGGGGACATTTTGGCCCATTTCTCCCTCCCTCTGCAGACTTCTGACTTCGCCATCAGAGTCTTCCTAGCTGGCCCCTGGCCTCCCCTTCCCCTTTTCAGGGGGAATGTTGAGCTGAAGCAGAGGGGTGTAAGTGAGGAGTCCCACTCCCCTTAAACTCTTTTCCCTTACTGAAGTTGCACCACAGGATCCAAACCCCTGGTTTTCCTTCTCTAGGTCCGTAGACAATTGATAAAGCACAGCTCTGGGCTTCAACCCACTGACAGATGCTGTTGCTTCACGTGAGCCTGCCCTCTGTCATCCTGGCATCTCTGAAAGCCCTTATCGATCTGAACTTCCTCAAGACCAGGTTGTCTATTTGTCTTTCTGTGGTCTCCTCATTGTTCCTCTGTGCTTTCTC